TAGTCTCCCTCAACCATTTTTCTTTTCTCCTTCTCTCTCTAATACAACGTGAAAATTAAAAATTAAAAATAAAACGGTTATCAAACAGGCCCTCATTTAATACGAAGAATGACATAATTGGAATTTATACTGTCTGAACATTTTCTTAATAACAGTATAGATATAGACAAGTAGTGTCTCATGACAATGGGTGATGATGCAGGGTGTAATTGTGACTGGAATTACCTACTGGCTGCAAGTTTGGGCCATAGAGAAGAAAGGCCCAGTTTTCACATCAATGTTCACTCCTTTAGCACTGCTTATAACAGCTATCTTCTCAGCAATCATGTGGAAAGAAGCCCTTCACTGGGGAAGGTAATTTCCACCGATTTATATAATAGCTCATTTAAACGGAGATCTAGTTATGATAGGTAACGAATGAATGTCACAGGGAGTAATCTTAACAAAATAAAAATTCTGAGACTTGTCTTGGTTGATTTGTTGCAGTATTGGTGGAGGCGTATTGCTTGTTGTGGGTCTGTATAGCGTTTTGTGGGGAAAGGACAAAGAGGACAGGAAAAGCGAAGAAAGTGAACAGAAACAAGAAAGCAAGGAGGAAGTGGTGTAAGAGTGCATTCTTAGTCGATGGGGATGGGATTGTAGCAAATTCGATTGGATGAATAAAAGGCATTCCCAATATGAATGCTTGTCATGAACACGCATTAGATTAAAGCAGTGATCATCTCTTTTTGTAACTATCAATCGAGGGCTAAAGTTTCCCTTTACTTTCTTTTTCTTGTCTAAATTCGTGTTGCAAAAGTTAAATGTATATAGGCTTTGTTTGTGCTAGATTCCCCGTTTATATATGAGATGTCTACTTACGAATTTTTGGAACATTTCCAAATTGGTTTTTTCATTTTTTTTATCCGTGGTCACATAACATGAATGAAATCATCGGATTAGTGAGACTTGATGACCAAGACTTGTCAAGGAAAACATTTTATGTAAAGTCTAAAGGTAGTCATATTTCATATCGCATAGTAAAACGTGCATGATTATCCACTACGATATTAGCGATAGAATGATTGTTGATTATGTAAGAGAAACACTAACGTGGGACTTGAAGCCAAGGACTTCATTGTCTGTATAGTGTCAATTAACTTACCAACAAACATATAGTGAAGGGTATGACATCAATTCATATTCTACTATAACCCTCAAGAACACTTACTAATTTGAGCTTCAAAATTTTTTCGCGCAAGTACACCTCTTCTGTCTCATTGGTGACAAGTGAATATGATATCATGCTTCTCACTATCTATAGAAAAAGCTTTAGCTATATAATAGCGAACAGCTTTTTGTTTCACCAATTTAAGCTAGCATGGTTCTTTTTGGTGGAAAAAGCTTACATGGTTCAATCGTTCACGAAATAAAAGCTTTATGTCTAATATAAGCTTTAGACACTAGGGAGAGGCTATGATAATGAGAGGGGGATTTGGGTGAGGAGTTTGATCGAGATGTTCAATCCAATCATCCAATCATTAAAAATGTATAAATTCAATATTTTCTCTCTCTTATCAGGTAACGCTGAGTCTAGTGTAGAAATGATATGTGAATTTTTTGGGTCTCAGTCGACCCTTTTGGGTTGTATTATTAACAAGACTTGGGTTAAGTTCTTTGAGTCTGGCCCAAGCGGCTTTCTTTTGGGATGGCACTGGGTCTACCTTTATGGCCCTCTATTGCATGAAAATTATAAACCACGCATATTGTTCTTTTTATTCATTTATAATTTTTGGTCAACAGCTTTCTTGTTGCTGATCTTTTTTATGGTGGTTGTGTTTGTTATTAATTATATTTATTTAAAATTGGTCTCTTTTTAAAAATCTTTTTGAAATAATTTTAATTGTAATTTATTTTATTTTATTCAATTATTTACAAAAATATAGTTTTTAATTTTGTAAGATATTCAACTACACCAATGCAAGTGAAACTACAATTCAGTTCAATAGCTGCCAAAAAAATTTAATAAATTGAACTAAAAATGAAACCATTGCTGATATTCTAAGCACAAATGAAATAATCAAATAATGCTAGAGTTATTATACTCTTGGAACGCTCGCTTTATTAATAAATTTGGAACAAAGTTTCTCCTTTCTTTTTGGAAAAAGATTTTACAACATGTTTGAAATTTTTAGGGTTATCAAAAGAATAAATTAGTTTTTAAATAATAAGTCGCCCAAGTTAATAAAGCAATTTTACATATTATAAGTTTCTTGAGTGAGTTTTGGAAGGTTAACAAAATTAATGGTTAAGTTGCTGCAAGCTTCTTGATTAGAAATCATTGTGGGTCGAGCCAATGAAATTCGAATTCTCATTGCAATTTAGTAGTATGTGTGAGAAACTTCTTCTTCTTATATTTTAAATTATCGCTTGTATTTAAAAAGAAATTATTATTGAAAAACAATATTAACTCCCTTCTTTTATTAGGAAAAAACAATATCCTTTCCATGTACAATTAGGAGATTTGAGGGCCTAAGTTATAATCCATACAGAACTAGGAGACTTCACCTAGTTCTCCATATAGAACTAGGATATTGTTCTCTATAAATAAAAGCTTGTTGAGATGGAAAAACACACTCTCAAATTCAATTCCCTCAAGTATTCTCTCGTACCAACAAATTATCGATTTCAAAAGTAAACATCTTTTTGATTTCATGTCAAAATAGTTTTATTTGTTTTTTGGAATTTTTTTTATAAAAAGTTAACCTTATATAAACAAATATATTATTCGATATTTTTTTTCCCCAATAGATTTAATCGCAAATTTCCCCTCCTCGTCCTGCACCAAACCCTTAACCCTGCGACTCAAAATCCCCTTCCCTTCCCTTCCACTGTCTCTTCCGTTTTTCTCACACAATGAAACGCTTAGCAGATAGCGTTCCCGTAGCACCCTCCTCCTCCTCGTTGCCGCCCAAAAAACCCGTTTTCTTGACGAAAGCCCAACGCGAGCAGTTAGCCCTCCAACGCCGTCAAGAAGAAACCGAAGATCAGAAACGCCGTCAAAGTCATGTTCTCTCCAATCTCTCCCATTCCCGCCCTTCCTCCGACGCCGCACCACCCACAGCAACCGCCAATTCCGACCGAGACAGGGACCGGGACCGAGACAGAGACAGAGATAGAGACCGGGATCATAGGGACCGAGACAGGGACCGATATTCCCGAGACAGAGACCGGGAACGAGATTCGGAGCGGCGAAACCGCGACCGCGACCGTGATAGGGAGCGGGAGGAGGAGGCCAAGGTTCGAGAGCGTGCCCGCTTGGACAAATTAGCAGAGCGCGAGCGAGACAAAGAGCTGGACGCCATTAAAGAGCAGTATCTCGGATCGAAGAAGCCGAAGAAGCGGGTCATCAAGCCCAGCGAGAAGTTTCGGTTCTCTTTCGATTGGGAGAACACGGAGGACACTTCTCGGGATATGAATGCTTTATATCAAAACCCTCACGAGGCCCAGCTCTTGTTTGGGCGAGGGTTTCGGGCTGGGATGGACCGGAGGGAGCAGAAGAAGCTGGCTGTGAAGTACGAGAGGGAGCTGAGGGAGGAGATCCGGAAGAAGGAGGGCGTGGAGGAGAAGCCCGAGGAGGCCATGGCGCAGAAGCTCAAGGAGGAGGCTGCAGAATTATACGATACTTTCGACATGAGGGTCGATCGCCATTGGACTGATAAGAAGCTTGAAGAGATGACTGAGAGGGATTGGAGGATTTTTCGGGAGGATTTCAATATTTCATATAAAGGGTCGAGGATTCCGAGGCCTATGAGGAGTTGGGCAGAGAGTAGATTGAGTGAGGAGTTGCTTAAGGCTGTGGAGAGAGCTGGTTACAAGAAGCCTTCTCCGATTCAGATGGCTGCGATTCCACTTGGGCTGCAACAGCGCGATGTTATTGGCATTGCTGAGACTGGTTCGGGTAAGACTGCTGCCTTTGTTCTTCCTATGTTGACTTATATTTCGAGGTTGCCTCCCATTAGTGAGGAGAATGAGGCCGAAGGACCTTATGCTGTTGTTATGGCTCCTACTCGTGAGCTTGCACAGCAGATTGAGGATGAGACTGTCAAGTTTGCGCATTTCTTGGGTATCAAAGTGGTTTCCATTGTTGGTGGGCAGTCGATTGAGGAGCAAGGGTTTAGAATTAGGCAAGGCTGTGAGGTTGTAATTGCCACTCCTGGGCGTTTGATTGATTGCCTGGAGAGGCGTTATGCTGTTCTTAACCAGTGCAATTATGTTGTTCTTGATGAGGCTGATAGGATGATTGATATGGGGTTTGAGCCGCAGGTTGTAGGGGTCTTAGATGCAATGCCTTCCAGCAATTTCAAACCTGAGAATGAGGATGAAGAGCTTGATGAGAAGAAGATTTACAGAACCACTTATATGTTCAGTGCCACAATGCCGCCTGCTGTAGAGCGGCTTGCTAGGAAGTACTTGAGGAATCCTGTTGTGGTCACGATTGGCACAGCTGGAAAGACAACTGATTTGATCACTCAGAATGTGATCATGAGCAAGGAATCTGAGAAGTTTGAGAGGTTAAAGAGGTTGCTTGATGAACTTGGTGATAAGACTGCTATTGTGTTCGTTAATACCAAGAAGAATGCAGACTATGTCGCTAAGAGTTTGGATAAGAATGGATATCGTGTGACCACTTTGCATGGGGGTAAGTCACAGGAGCAGAGAGAAATTAGCCTTGATGGTTTTCGAGCCAAGAAATACAATGTCCTTGTTGCAACTGATGTTGCAGGACGTGGGATTGACATACCTGATGTGGCCTATGTTATTAATTATGATATGCCTGGGAATATTGAACAGTACACGCATCGTATTGGACGTACTGGGCGTGCAGGGAAGACTGGTGTGGCCACAACATTCTTGACTATGCACGACACTGAAGTCTTTTATGATCTCAAGCAGATGCTCATTCAGAGTAATAGTCATGTTCCTCCTGAACTGGCGAAACATGAGGCCTCAAAGTTCAAACCCGGTTCAGTTCCTGATAGACCACCTAGGCGTAATGACACTATTTTTACTCATTGAGAAGCTAGGAGGTAAACAGACTTTTCAACAGAGGGCCCAACTTATTACGCAATGTGATGCTGTTTTAGTGGCTGAGACATCTTTGCCTACTGCTGGAACTGAAGAAGTGAGTTACTTTGAATGGGATTGTGCTTATCTATAATTTTGATTATGAATATTTCTGCTGTACTGTAATTGGCAAATTGATGTCATGACTTTTTTCTTATGAAACAATGTTGTTAGTCCTGATGACTAGTTAGAACCAGTAAATTGTTTATGACGATATCAGTTGGGAATTTTTTTTTTTCTCTTCATTGGTTTTTGCAAATTACTGGTTTACTTTATTGGGTGGGAGCACAAATCCTTTAAATATTGCTGGCATTGTTTGATATTTGGACTTTTTTAGTGCATGCTAAATTTGATGACGACATTTGATATTAAGGTGTTGTCTTCTCTATGGTACCTTAGTTGAACCTCCTCCTTTTTTTTCTTGAATTCTTTCATCTTTCTGTTTGCTTATTGAGAAATCTTTTTACGAGAATTTTTATTTGATTTTGATTTTCATGTCATTTGGTCCATATCGGGCCAACCGATGGAAAGAAAATACAAAAGTGATTTCCAGGTGAAGCTGGTGCATCATTTTGCTTATGCGCCTGTTGAAGCTTTGCATGGACAGGTACGTAAGTGTAATTTTTCCAAAGCATGTATGATTCATAGTTCTCGGAGATGTGGAACAGTTATGTACTTTAAAGAAAGAAAAAAACAAATTGTCTACTTTAAGTTATTATGTGGCATTCTTGAGGAAGAACTGTGATAAGCAAGGAAATGAATATATGAAGGGAACTAAAAATTAATGCTGCTATCATGATTCATAACATGAAGTTTGTAAAGAGGGGATACCAGTAGGTTGTTGTCTCTTACAGCATATGTGATTTTGGCCAACCAATACCATTCTGATGTAATTTCGTGTTTAATGCTTTTAGTGTGGTTGCTAGCCATTGGTTGCAGCTTTATGTGTCTTGTGCTTTTACTGTGGGTTTTGGTAGACTGTAATCTGGGAGATGTGCTATGATGGAAATTTTTTGGGATCTTTGGGGTGAAAGGAACAGAAGGGTTTTTGAGAATGCATTGAGTGAGGAGGTGGAATGCTTATGGGATAGGGTGCATTTTTGGCCGTCTTTGTGGGCATCTGTAACTTTAGAGTTTAGGGAGTTCTCTTTTTTCTGTCGTTTTGTCGGATTGGAAAGCATTTATTTTGTAGCTCTTTGGAATTCTGTTTTTTTTTTTTTGGGTGTTTTCGCCTAGGATTGAGTTGTTGAATCAGTTTGCATGTCTAGTTCTTTTAGAAGTGGACTACTTGTTCACTTTTGTTGTACTCTTATAAATAAAAAATAAAAAAATCACCTTGTATAACTATTTGTTATTCTGGTGTTACAAGTTATTTAAAATCTTAGTTGAACTTTCAGCATTTATTTACTGATTGTAGGACTAATCTGGTTTTCTGTCAAGTTTTCTTTATACTATCCGAGAAGACAAGAATTAATCCATTCTCTCTCATTTGGGTTAAAATAATTCCAGTTATTTTTTACTTTTTGCATTTATGTTTCTTGAGAATGCGTATTAACTTATAGTAGAGCCCTAGACATTCTAAGATCCTTTTTGAACCCTGGAACCCTACGGCCAGATTAAGTGTTCTTGTGTGCTTATTTGAAATATAGTGAGCTTGTAAATTACCTTCCTTATGTGTTGCTGTATGTTTGGATAGATTCCTTGACTTTTTGGTCTTTGGGGTTACTTTCATCTTCTTTATGTGATAAATACATTAGTTTCAATTTCCAAAGCTTCTAGCAACTATTAGTCTTTGCTTTTTCAGCGTTCTTGTTCATTTCCAGAGATATATGATGGCAGCAAGTTTGCTTTTGGTCACACTGCTAGGTTAGTCTCCTTGCATGCAGAAAGGTATGAGTTTTATTTTTCTTAAGCCCCTTCTCCAATAAACTTTACAAACAACATATGCATTTAAAGTCACCATGTTTCTCAGAGACTAAACATGAAATGGATTCCACAGAAGAACAGGACGAGTGGAGAGTTGGGTTTTGGTTTTGGAAAAAATTAAGCATATGGTGGTCACTTTAAGGCTTTCCTTTTTTTTTTTCCGGAGGGAATTAAGTCTAATTTTGCTAAACTTTCTGTACTGTTTATAAAGTACCATTTTCAAAAGAGTTTATTGGGAAGGGCTAAGATAAAAGACATGAGAACTTTAGCGTCGAATTGTACAAGATTGTTTGATGATCGTGAAGATGTTTAATTATTTATTTGATTGTTTCAATGGATCAATCTGTTAAATTAGATGTTGGCACGTTTCTGAATGTTTTATTATCTTATACATGTTTGGCACTGGATTTATACCATCAGTTTTTAGATGCATGAATGAATGTTGTGTTCTCTTTCACTTAGTGCATCCGTTCGGTTTAAGATTTCAGAAGCCTGAACTGCCTCATCCCTAAACGACGCTGCCCGGTAGTGTGGTAGAGAAAAAAGCCTAACTAGTCTTCAAAATTAGGATTTTGTTGTCCGAGGATTTTGATGCTTCGTACAATTCTTTTTCAGGGTGCTTTAATTGACTTTTCCACACAATGCTCACCCTAATATTTAAACCCCAGAACTTTAATTTGAAATGCCACTATGAAAGGCCAAAATACTTGCAAGGTGTTTGCGGATAGCCTATCAAATTGTGGACGTGGTGTACAGTTTGGTTTGGTTGACTTGGATTTGACCTTATAACCTAGGTAATCACGTAACTGCGCCGCCTACTATAATATGACGGTGTTCCAATGTACATATTTCATTTGAAAATTTTCTTGTGAAATAGGGTGTGAGGGTGTTCAATCTCATCAACTTGCTTCTTAAATGCAATCTTGAATCTGGGTGTCTTGGATGTATCTTGAAATCATGGGCTGTGTAAAACAAAGTAAATGTAATCTTTGTTTTGTGCAGTTGAAGGCAAAGATATACTCAACCATCCATCCTTGCCCCTCCATCAATTTTGGAACCAATAGTTATGTTAGCAATATCTCATTTATTTTTTTTAACAAAATGACTTCCAACAACTTGGATATGGTCATGCGTTATTTGCCACGTTATCTAAACAAAAACTTGAGAATTCTTTCAACAATTCTCGCCATTTTGTTACTAGTCTCTCTACATGCACTTGCACGTGTCAGAAGCATTTTCTACTGCGCATACATGCTAAATTATCTATTTGCATTAATAGGGTAATACACTCAAATCCCGAATCCCAAATGGCAATGTCAAAAACGGAACATGTGTAATTTTCTTGAACTCTTAACTGAACCTTATATCATAGCAATTATTACCCAATAAGACCTATACATAAGGTAATTGTTTGGATCCGATTTTGCTCGACCCAGGGAGAAACACCCAGGCCAAGACCTTACAAGACAAGGTGTGTTTGCACATAAAAAGCCCATGAAGGGAAGTAAAAAAGAATGCTGAGATTATGATTCATGAATAAAATGCTTGTTCAAATTTATTATGTGTTTAAAGCTACTAATGGTTGCTATCTATTTCTTGTTAAGTCTCAGCACTGATCTACCAGATTGTAGAGCTAATCTGCTTTGCTGCTAAGTTTACTTTATACTATCCCAACATGTACTTGAGAATGCTTTCATTTTTTCAGTGATTTTCAGGTGAAAATGGGCCTGGACATTATGTTCACAATCCTTTCTTTTATTTTTTCTTGTCATGGTTCTTTTGTGTACAGCAGTTATACCGTACACAAAAAACCATGACGAAAGAACTCTGTTCTGACATAAATATTTTTTTTGTTTGAATTGAAATGAAACTGAAGGAGTTTTTTTTAAGGTCATCCGCTAAAGTTTTAAAACAACATAGTAAGTTTAGCCAAAAATTGATTTTAAATTGACCAGGATATCCTTGCAAAGCAGCTCAGGATATCCTCTCGTCTTGGCGGCTAGAATTTTTCTTGTCCGAGGACTTCGATGCTTCTGATGTTTTCAGGTATATTAATCGATTTCTCCACGCAATGCTAACCCCAAAACCTAGAAATTAGCTTTCCAAACCTTCAAAACCGAAACCTCGCGGTTAACTTGGTTGTAAAAAACACCAAATAACCACATTGGTGTCCACACACTCCCACTTTCATTTCCATAGTTTGTTCTTTTTATCTGTAGATAATGCTTGGGTTCTGAAATGATCATGTGGTCCTATGTTTTGGAGGTCTAGGCGAACAACCTAAATAGGACCTTCTACTTTTAATGTATATTTATGTGATTTTTTTTTCTTCAGTATGTTAGAAAAAATATTATATGAACTCAAATTCACAATTGTAACATAAAAGAAACAAACAAAATGTAATTTACAAAACAACTTTATAAAATGCATTAAGATTCAAAGCATCACTTAAATATCAATCCCCTTGCATTTTTCAATGCAAAAGTATAAGTTAACTTTACATAATAGTTATATAATATAATTTATTTAAAATAACATACATTAGGTATATATAGGGGTTTATATAAATTGTGGCCCTCCCAATTTTGGGGCCCTAGGCAGCCGTCTTGCCTGCTTGTGCCTAGAGCCTCCTTAGACTATTTGTCTCTTGGTGTTACTTTTCAAATCTTGTTATTATTTTTCAATGTTTCGATATGTGTCCATTTCTAATTGGCCACATGTTCATTTTAGAAGGAGTTCTTTTTCTTTCGGGACCCAAACATTATCCTTTATATATTGGACATTGTTTCCCTTCTTCCAGGGCACTCTTACTTCCTGCAAATCACATTTTGACACATATGAAAAAATAATTCATCAAAAACACAAAAAGAAAAATATCTATATTCCTACTTCTAGAAAATGAGACAAGTATTTTAAATTTTTTTCATTAGTTGTGGTTTTACAAAATAGAAAGAAAAAAAAAAGGTACAAGAGTTTTGCTTTTGGAGTGGCCATAACAACTACGTTTCCAATATGTCTCCACCATCACCAATTGAAATGTCAATGTGAAAGGGCAAGAACCACTTACAAGGGAAGGTGTGTTTGCCTTTGCCTAGGAATTTGTGGATGGCTGGTAGCGTGTTGCACGCAATTTGGTTGACTTGGAATTCAACCTTTATATCCTTTGAAATCCTCAATGCGACAAGAAAATCAAGCATGCCAACTAACTCTGAATTTCGGTGTTACATCGCATCATCAACATTTCTTAAATGTGACACGTAATACTTCTTTATTTTATTTTCCCCCCCTTTTAGGTATTTACATGTTACCTAATTTCTTTTTCTTAGAGTTTCCTAATTGGACTTTACTCTATTGTCCTTTACCATGTCAGTCATGAAGATCGCCGGACCGATGCCGACTTGAGATGAGGCGTCGCCAAGCACTTCGGTCCATCAAGATTTACGACT